CCCCAAAACCCCAAAACCCCAAAACCCCAAAACCCCAAGACAATATTTGAATATGGAACTTTATTATATAATTTTAAATTAAATAGGTAAGCCATGATGACTTTTTCAAACAGATGTATCTGAGACTTGTTAAAAATCATAATCTTTAAAGATAGTTATCAAAAGTAACTTATTTACTTGAATATAACATTTATATGGGTTTCAGATAGTTGAAATAACAAAGTCATTTATTTCCCTCCATTAATTAACCCATCTTGTTCACTATCTTACGGTAAAAATTTAATTTAAAAAATTATACTACTTTTTAACTTCTAAATCAATCCTTCAGCTATAATGAAAGCCCGTTGTGGAGATACAGGGTCTACTAAACGCCAACCGAAGACCCACAAAAAGCAAACCTCAATTTCTTCTAAAGAAAATTTCTCGAAATCAAAAACCTTGCACAGAAGACTCAAAAGTGAAGAGCGCACTACTTCAATTTACCTCAACCCAAACCAGGCGAAGGACAGGAAGATAAGTCAAGACCGGTCTGCTTCCAACAGGATGAACTTTAAAAATGAATTCGAGGATTACTCCCAGGCCACAACTTCGAGGAAGAATCGTAAATAAGCCCAAGCATAAACTGGAAAGCACCCTCCCTTTTGTTGGTAATAATTCCTTCGGAGGCTATATTTCAGGTAAAGTCACACTAATTCTAAATTGTCAAATTTACTAGGCAAGTTATTCGAAAACTTCCTCAAAATATGTTCTCCTGTCTCTCTTTGTTGCCTTAATCTTAATTCAAAATTAAAGCAAAATTTGAGAATAGTTCCCAGTCATGAAATTCCTCAGGAACTATGACACAATATTTTACTATACGAAGAGACAAACTTTGATAGGTAGTTTAGCTATTTTATGATAATTATTTTGAAATATTACTTTATAGTCCCTTTTAGTTATAATGTATTAATAATTGCTAAAGGTTCGACTGGTGGTCCGAAAAAGCAAAGTAAAAATGCAATAGGATATGCAGCGTTAAAAGGAAGCAAATTTTCAGGCACTAAGACTGCAATGCTAACCTATGCAAAAGACCTTGACTATAAGATATCCAAAGATAACCATAAAGTCAGCCTTCAGATGAATTCAGATCATATGCATAATTATAGTGCTGCTTTCAATCATAATAAATCTGGGAAAAAGAAACCCTTTATGCTGACTACACAAAAGAATACAAAAAGGAGATCTGTTGAGAGAGATCATTCAAAGAAGAAGCAAAGAAGTTCAAGTGACGGCAACAGAATAGTAAATTCGAAGAGGAAGAAGAAAGAGCATACTAAATCACCAGACACTGCATATTACAACAAAATGGTTGCAGCTTTCGGTAATATTGTCAAGTACCCTACTAAAACTTTAAGAAAAGTTGTCAAACAAAATGGGAAATTATATAACCAAAGTGGAGCTCTTTTTTCTCTAAAAAGAAGCAAAGAAATTGGAAGCAAATAAACTTGCGAATTATTATGATCATAATAATTCGAAGAGTAATGATGCAAGACAAAAGAGTACAAACATCAGAAGTCTTCCATTATCTCTAATGAACTCTTTTGAAAAGAGAGGAAAAGATAAGAATATCATGAAAAAGAAAAAGAAGCATTCCTTGAAAAACTCCAAAAAAGTTCCTAACCAAGTCTTCTATCACAAAGGAAAAGTGAACGTATCTGGGCAACATCTAAAATTCTCAAAACCCAAATCTAAGAGTACAATGTCACATCACTCTGAAAACTCAACCCAGCAATTTAGCAGTAACCTAGCGTTCAGTGGAGGAAACACTCCTCTTTCCCCTCAATTCTACCAAGACCTAAGCTCTCACACTAACAATATTAAAGAGATGCAAGAAGCTGTATGAGCGGCGAATACTTTAAGTTCTAAGTATCCCTATCCATATTTCATCAAAAGGCCAGAGACAAATGTAAATATGTATGACGAAGATATGCTATTCCTCTCCTCTGGAGATCAAACCAAACAACATTCATTTTATAAAGATCCAAATGACAGCTTCACTTCTCAGACTTATGATAATAAACCAAAGAAAGGTAATGTCCAAAGAGAAGCTATTCATGGATATTCTTACTCTCATGATCACGGATCCAAGAAAAGAGTTATTATGGATAAGAAAACCAAAATGAGTAAAATGTCAGAGATCATGGGGCACAAAGATTTCTCAAAGAAACCTAAAAAGCAAAAGAGGCAATCTAAGACAGGGTTCCAGAGTAAGCCATTTAAATTTTAATAAATAGACAGCAGGAAGAGTTCTAAACATGAAGATGAGTTTCTCATCCCTGAAAATCCCAACGCAGCAGATAATGCTGTTGATTTTAATAACAACAGAGAAGAATTAATGAGATTTTTGCATGATAAAGATATCAATCAGATATCTATCGATCAACCTCCATCCAAATTCGTAGATGTAAAGGACAATGCAATTAGAGATATTCCAAAGATTAAGAAGAAATCAATCAATAAAGGAGGCAAAAGTAAGGTTATGGAATACATTACTGGAGACAAAAACACAAAAGAGAGGAAATTCTTCAGTAATCAAAACTCTCCAAAATCAAAGCTTATCAAAGAGAAACCCAAAAAGGAGAAAATTAAATCTGATAATGAAGAAAGCAAGGATTTAGGTGTTCATAGTTCAAAAATAGTTAAAATTATTAAATCAGCATTTCTGAAAAACACCACTCCAACCACTACAGTAGACTTTTACAGAGCTGGAAAGATCTTGGGAAAAGGAGCTTTTGGAAAGGTGAGCCTTGCCCTTCATAAGCTAGCTAAAAAGTTAGTTGCTCTAAAGCTTCTCAATAAAGAACTGATTAAAAATGAATCCTCTAAAGATAAAGTGATGCAAGAGGTTAAAATCTTAAAAAGATTCAGACATCCCAATGTAGTTAAGCTCTATGAAACCTTTGAATCTGATAAACACATTATAGTTGTGATGGAGCTCTGAGCTGGAGGAGATCTTCTCAATTATGTTAGAAAAAGAAGGAGACTAAAGGAATCATATGCCAAGTACATCTTCAAACAAATCATTGAAGGAATTGCTCATGTACATTCTAAAGGAATCCTTCATAGAGATATTAAACTAGATAATATTCTTCTTGATGGAAAGGGTTTCGTCAAGATAGCTGATTTCGGAGTCTCAAGAATAGTCACCAATATTGAGGATAAAATGACCGAGCAATGAGGAACTCCAGCCTACATTGCACCTGAAATTTTGAGGGATAATGGTTACTATGGATTTGCATGTGATCTTTGGAGTGCAGGTGTTGTTCTATATGCCATGCTTTATGGAACTGTTCCTTTTAAAGCAAACAATATGCAGGATCTTCATAAACTAATAATGAAAGCTAAATATACCTTAAAAGATGATATCTCTGAAGAAGCAAGAGACCTCCTCAAATGTTTGCTTGAAAGGGATCCTTATAAAAGATTTAGTGTTATTGATGTAATGGCCCATGATTGGATGCAAGACATTGAAGAACAAATGGTTCTCTTTAATGACCAAGAAACACAGCTTATCAGAGATGAATTTACTTTCAATAACTCTAAAAGATACAACAGAAACACCAAGAATATCAACTTAGAATCTGACAGAAGTAGGAACACAGAAATGACAGAATTAAACTCTGATTGTTTCACAGAGCAGAGGTTAGATTCCTGAGAGAATGAACTTCTTAAGAATGTGAGTACAAAAAGTATTATCCTTGCACCTTTCAACTCAACCAAATCTCATCTTTCCTCCAAACTTCATGAAAGTGTAGAGGAAAATATTTTTGAAAAATGGAAAAAGCTAAAGTTCCAAGTAAAATGAAGAGAACTTGACAAAGAATACGAAAGAAACTTCAATGACGAGGTTGACAATGGAGTATATAACAAATTTGTCAATAATTCTATTAGAAATGATGAAGACGGAGAAAAAGCTAATGAAGAGCTGATATCAAATCCCTCAACATTTTTAGAAGCCAGCTCCAATGATGACTACATAAAGCAACTAAGCCAAGTATTTGGAAAAGGAAAGAAAGGACAAAGAAACAACGATTTTGGTCGTATAGAAACCATGGTGAGTAACTATAACTTCAAAATTGATCACGAAATCATTCAAACAATGAATCAGCGGTTCGAATATCCAAAAGATTACATCGTAAAGTGTCTAGATAGTAATAAGACAAATTACTGTACTGCTACCTATTACCTCCTGGGTGCTGACCAAAACTACTAATCTGAGCAATTGAATTTGAAAAATATTTCAAAGGATCAATAATTAATGAGGTTATAGGGGTTTTGGGGTTTTGGGGTTTTGGGGTTTTGGGGTTTTGGGGTTTTGGGG